GTTGATAGGCTGGGCGTCCGGATCCGAGCCAACGCTCCCGATTCGTAGCTCGCGCCAATCGAGCGTCCTGATTGGTCGGGATATTTTATTAATAACTCCTCAACCATGCCTCGCACGACTTTCTCGCTAATGAAAATATTGTTTAAAATTACGTCAGAAACCTTCCGTTTCAATATCTTACACTAGTTTTGGGACATCCTGTATATTACTATACATTAAGAACTAGGAATGAACGATGTACGTGTTCGATCCTTCCTGTAATAAACGAAGCATCCGATGTACCGTAGGAAACCGTTGCGATACGAGACCGTGCAAACGAAAACCCGATGCCAATGCTGGATGGTCTTCACGTGGATCAGCGTGGCGATGATGTGCTGCCCGCCCCTGCTAGGTTTCCAAAAACCGATCTTCGATCGCGAGGCGTTCATCTGCATGCTCGACTGGGGGAACATGGCTGCTTACACCATCACACTGTCGATCCTAGTGCTAGGTCCGTCGGTCATCACCATCATCTACACCTACTCCTACATCTTCGTAACGATGAGGCGGCTGAAATCCGGCATGCTGATGCACGACAAGGAGTACGCGACGGCGCTGTCGGAGAATTTGAGCAATCCGAGTCACATAATGTCCTTCGTCCTGGTGATGACTTTCTGGGTGTCCTGGGCACCGTATGCCGGTCTCCGGTTGTACGCCGTCGTTAACGGGCCGCCACAGGTAATACCAAAAGTGCCTATTTCCCCTGAACTGTTATATTATATATTGGACAGTGGGAAAAGTATTGAGAGATTCTTGTCACTTTTTTATTAAATGCTTCTTTTATTCAAGTATATATTGGCCATTATTGTTTATGACCTTCTGCCATTTTTGGGGTAGAGCCATAATCCCATCGGAACAGAACTCAGTGATTGGTCGACCAGAGCGAGGTGCATCTTTAACATTGAAATTTCCAGACCGGAAGCGAGCAAACCACTTACATTCTGTTGCATTTGATAAAGCATCTTTACCGCAAACATCACAAATTTTTCCCAGGCTTGTGCAGCATGTTTGCCTTTCTCTTAGTAAAATTGCAAAACATAGGGAATTTTTTCAGAAATTTCACTCATTTTCATAGTAATATTACTTTCGACACGATTAACGAAATACAAAACTGTCTTCATAGAAATTGTAGACTGAAATATCACCTCTGAAACGAATGATGAAAATGATCAGTATGACGCAATCTGATTAGTGTTGCCCGATATGTGACACCAAACAACATTTAGTAACAAAAATCTCTCAATACTTTTCCAACTATCCAATATAGGGTAGATGTGGGTATTACTGCAAAGTAGAAATATGGTTAACCTTTGAAGCTATTGATTTAATTGAATGTGTAGAATT